AGATACTTCCATGACAAACACCCAAAGAACTTCATGATCACCAAACCAACCCTACAAAGAATACTGAAAGACATTCTAGATAAACATAGAAAAAAACCACTAAGCAAGAAAAACAATTAAACAGACTGGAAAGGTAAAGAATCAACAGCAGGAAGATAACATGTCAAAAGTAAACCAATATACATCAGTTATAACCATTAATGTAAATGGCCTCAATTCACAGATTAAGAAACAGACTGGCAGAATAGAGCAAGAAACAACATCCAACCATATGCTATATATAAGAAACCCATCTAATCCAAAAGGGAATTCATAGACTGAAAGTCAAAGGATGGAAAACAATACTTCATGCAACAGGACCCCCCCGAAAAGCAGAGGTAGCTATTCTATTTGAAGACAATATGAACTTCAAATTAAGAATGATCAAAAGAGATAAAGAAGGTCACTATATACTAGTTAGGGAAAAACTTCAAGAGGAAGAGATAACAATCTTAAATATCAAGCACCAAATTTGGGAGCACCCAGCTATACAAACAAATATTAACAGAAATTAAAAATTAAATAAGCAATAACACAATTATAACCGGAGACCATTGACACAAAGGGACAGATCAACTAGATAGAAAATCAGCAAAGAAACAACAGAACTCAATCACACTTGTGAACAATTGGACTTGGTGGACGTATACAGAGTATTCCACCCAAAAACATCAGAATATATATATTCTTCTTAACAGCACATGGGACATTCTCTAAAACAGACCATATTCTAGCCCACAGAACATGCTTCAGTAAATGCAGAAGAACTGAAATGCACGTTATCAGATCATAGCACCATGAAACTAGAAATTAATGACAAAAGAAACTGCAAAAACCCCACAAACATATGAAAATTGAGCAATCAGTGGGTTAAAGAAGAAATTAAACAATACTTAAAGCAAATAAAAATACAAATACATCTTTCTGGAACCTGTGGGATGCAATGAAAGCAGTCCTCAGAGGAAAATTTATTATGGTGAATTCCCACATCAGAAAAACAGAATGAACACAAATAAACAACCTGATGGTACACGTCAAACGTCTGAAAAAGAAAAGCAAGTCAAGTCCAAAGCCAAAAGAAGGGAGGAAATCATAAAGCTTAGAGCAGAAATCAATGCAATGGAGACTAAGAAAACAATACAAAGAATCAATGAATCAAAGTGTTGGTTCTTTGAAATAAATAAAATTGATAAGCCCCTACCAACTTTATTTAAAAAAGGAAAGAAAAAACTCAAATTCATGCAGTGAGGAATGAAAAAGGTAATATCACTACAGACCCTGTGGAAATACAAATGATCATCAATACTTATTTCAAAAACCTCTACTGTTATAGGCTTGATAACACAGAAGAAATGGACAGATTCCTAGAAACATATGAATTACCAAAGGTGGGTCAAAAAGATGTAAAACTGGTGAATAACCCAATTTCAATTAACAAAACTGAAAATGTAATTAAATCCTTACCAACAAAGAAAAGCCCAGATCCAGATGGATTCATTGCGAAATTCTACAAGAAATTCAAAGAAGACACTCCTCAAACTATTCAATGAAATGAAATGAAATTGAAAGGGAAGCAATCTCCCTAACGCATTCCTGGAAGCAAATATTGCTCTAATACCAAAACCAGAGAAAGACTCAACCAAAAAAGAGAACCACAGGCCAATCTCCCTAATGAACATAGATGCAAAAATTCTCGATCAAATATTGGCAAACAGAATGCAACAAGTCCTCAAGAAGATTATATACCATGATCATGTGGGATTCATCCCAGGAATGCAGGGATGGTTCCACATATACAAATCAAGAAGTGTAATCCACCATATAAATAGAGCGAAAAAATAAGAATTACATGATCATTTCTATAGATGCAGAAAAAGATTTTGATAAGGTTCAACACTTATTCATAATAAGAAACTTTCAGAAAACTGGAATATATGGTCTTTACCTCAATATGATAAAAGCCACCTATGACAAACCAACAGCCAGCATCATATTAAATGGCCAAAAACTGAAAGCCTTTACCCTAAATTCAGGAACAAAACAAGGATGTCCATTATTGCCACTGTTATTCAATATAGTGCTGAAAATACTAGCCAGAGCAAATAGACAAGAGAGAGAAATAAAAGGAGTAAGGATAGGAAAAGAAGAAGTTAAATTATGGGCAGATGACATGATACTCTTCATAAAAAAACCCCAAAACTCCATTGAAAGACTCCTAGGTATAATAAATACATTCAGTAAGGTAGCTGGATACAAAGTCAATACTTAAAAATCAATAGCATTCCTATACACTAACAACAAAACCACTGAGAGAGAAATAAGAGAAGACACACCTGTCATAATAGCTTCCAAAAAAAAAAAAAAAAAAAAAAAAAAACAACTTAGGAATCAATCTAACAAAAGAAGTAAAAGATCTATTCAGGGAAAATTACAATATCCTGAAAAAACAAATCGAAGAGGACCTCAGAAAATGGAAAGGCATCCCTTGTTCATGGATAGGAAATACAAATATTGTGAAAATGGCCATTCTCCTAAAAATGTTATACAGATTTAATGCAATTCCAATATATCGTTAACATACCTCACAAATCTAGAGAAATCACTCCTAAAATTCATCTGGAACCAGAAGAGACCTAGAATAGCCAAGGCAAGGAACTCTCCCGCACTGTTGGTGGGAGTGTAGACTGGTGCAACCACTGTGGGGGTCAGTCAGGAGATTCCTCAAAAAGGAATTGGAAGTCCCATTTGTTCCAGCTATTCCACTTCTGGGCATATTCCCAGAACTGAAAACATCATACCACAGTGATATACGTGCACCCATGTTTACAGCAGCACAACTTGTAATAGCCAGATCTTGGTAACAACCTAAGTGTCCATCAACTGAGGAATGGATAAAAAAAGATGTGGTATTTTTATACAATGGAGTACTACTCAGGTATATAGAATGATCACACTGAGATTTTTATAAGTAAATGTTTGCAACTTGAGACCATATTCATAAGTGAAATAAATCAAACTCACATGTGTAAATACCATACAGTCTTCCTAGTATAAGAAATGGTAAGAGTACATAAGATACAAAATCCTCAATAAATACAGTGAAAAGATAATCTGTTTATAAGGAAAAACATAATGTCTCAGGGAAAAGGAGGAAAAAGAAAAAGGAAGGGAAAAGAAAAAATATCTGAAATTGTATAATCACGTTTAGGATAGCTAAGATGACTGTGTTACAAATCCCATAAGTTTTTGGAACAAAACCGCTAACATCTATAAGATTGGAACAATTTTGCGTGTTAGTATCTGGTGATCTGAGGAACTCTTAAAGGACATTATGTAAAATAACAACCCTAGTTATGCTCCTACCACTTGCTCTGAAGGCGTATATCATCGTTTTGTGCTGTTTGCTATTATTATTTACTTGTCTTTTTTGTTTCTTGTTTTTCTAAGAATTTGTTTTGCTTTGTTTTTCCCTCTAATACAAAAGATAGGTATACATGTGTAGAACTTCCCCTAAACAGTATATGAAAATCGATTACATTATGTGTGATGAAATGAACAGCTACTTTGAAGAAAAAGAGACGTTATGGTATCCGTTGCGGATACCATATCGTCATGCTGTGAAATTCAGTAATGCCATTATTCTTTGTTCAGAGAGGTTTTAGCCTGTTTTGTATTGTTTAATTTCAATATACATGAAGGTATGGACAGCTAATTTGAATGAGAACAAGAGACATTACAGCAGCCACTGTTGATTTTGAAGCCCGATAATGCCTTCATCACTCTGTTCTGATTAGCTTAATACTATTTTGTTTTGTATACATTCATTGTGTGTGAAGATATAGACAACTATTTGGAAGAAAACAAAAGACATTATGGTAACCTTGGTACAGATCCTGTTATCTTGCTTTGAAATCTGTGTCACTTACATTGTTTTCTTCTGATCTACTTTGTTCTGTTTTTTGTTTAGTTTTACCCTCTTTAAAATAATAAAAAAAATGTATGCATGTATTTTAATGCAATGAAAATGAAAGAAAGAACAAAAAATGAAGACCTGAAGTTTAATTTCATAAAGGAGAAATAGTTAATGTTTAACTGAATGTTGTGAAGATACGAAAATGAAGCTTTCCTTGTCGTGTGACTTCCAACATTACCAGCCACAGGACAGAACATGCTTGCTCTGGGCCAGGACCTTTGTATAGATCCCCTCCTCTTTTATTTTAAAATTTTTCCTTGGGGGAATCTCCTGAAGATCACACCCTTTGCCTACCACCCACCGTGTTCTGATCTAGAAAACCCAAGACACAGTTTAGATCGCATTTCTAGCTACCAAGAATCCCTACGATATTATCATTTTAAATGACCTTGCCTTCTGACTTTAGTTTTACATCCAAATGTTAATGTTTTACGTTCTGGACCTTGATACCTGAAGAAGACAGAGTGAAAACTGCATCTGTGTCCTTCCGGTGCTGAGCTGCTTGGTTTACCTTTCTAACTTCTCCATGTCTCAGTTTCATTTGTAAAGTGGACACAGTGAAAGTCACTATGGAAATCACGTGGCATAACAGAAGTAAAGTGATTGCAGAGCTCCTGACACGCAAGTTCCACTATTTATGTGCAATTCATTACTATTACTGTCACTATAATTATTATTCTATCTGAAAGAGCAGCTAAATTTCTGCTTAAATAATGATTATCTCCTCTGCATTATATTTAAGAAAAATGCTTAGAAATCTCCAAGACTCTGTGTCAAAGCTTTGGTTTCAGAGACCATTTGGTTTTCTTTGGTAGTACTAGGAATTAAACCAAAAAGGTTCCTAAAATTTTGAGATACCAAGTCACTAAGTTGCCTAGCCTCAGCTTGAATTTATGATCCTCCTGCCTCAGCCTCCCAGAGTGCTGGGATTACACCCATGTGCTGTGGTATCTGGCTGGGCTAGAAACTCTTGATCATCCGCACTCACCTCTTCAGTGAGCCTCAGACATTCTGCCAGGGTGCTGTTAATCTTATTGGACAGCTCCAGTTGTGCTTTCTTTTCTTCCTCTTCTTCTTCAATATTCTTCCAGAATGAAATATTCATTTCCTCTATTACTTTTCTTTTTGTTTTAAGTTCCATGGGAGGCCGTTTATAGATTTTCCCCTTAGATTTCTGCCATTCTTCTAGCTGTTTCCTGTTACATGATTAAAGGGGAGAGAGAATGGCTTTAGTTTTTCCTTCATACATGGTCTAGTTCCTAAAACGATCAGTTAGAGCTAAACCTTCAATTAGAGGCAAAGAGAACAGAATTAAAAAACAATTTCGAATAGCTAATGGCAATACTGGATGGTTCTCACACATCAGGAGGCGGGGCAGAGTGACACAAATCCGCAGGGGGCTGAGGCAGGAGGATCGCCAAAAGTGTAGGCCAGCCAGGGCTACACAGCAAGTTGAACATCAGTATGTCTCAAAAACAAAAGCTCTCGAGGCAGATGTTAGGTTAGATTATAGGCAGCTAGGTAGCTTTTAGTCTTCGAATACTTTAGTTTCATGATCATTCCTATTTTTCTCAGACACCTCCTTGTCTCTGAGATCACAGACTTGGTGCCACATCTCTCCCACCACAAAATTATCAGTCAATCAACTCACACCCACTAAAACGGCATTCTGCCCTCTATAGGGTCTCAGTGCTCAAAGTGACCAACTTCACTCAGCTCCCCAGCCCTCTCCTGACCACACACAACTCCTTTCTTCTCAGAAACTACAGCAATACTTTTGGGGCTCTTCTCTTAAGTAGCTAGTCATGCCAAGTCCTAATCCCCACTGTCTTCCACTATTCTTGTGCTCCACTCTTGCTTCTAAGCATGCAATGGTCTCCATTTTGGGAGCGGAGACACCAAGAAGTATAGGCGCTTAGATGTCAGCTGTCTAGTTTCTATAAGCTACAACTATGTATTAATGATTCGAAGTGTACACTTCAGTCTACGCTTCTTCTTAGAGTCTCAAACTTTGTAAATCTACTGCCTAGTTGTTATGTTTTGATGTCTGACAGATGTTTTAAACTTAATATTCTCTAAAACAAAGTTCTTGATTTTCATCTCCAAAACAGTCCTGAGTTTTACTTTGATAAACAGTACCCCAGACTACCCAGTTTCTGGAGCCTAAAACTAGGAGTTGTCTTGAGCTCTTCCTTCCTTTTATTCCCTCATGCCTACGCATTCCCAGAAGACTCACTACTGCTTCTGTCTACACTACTGCCATGCTGGTCTGCACCCTTGTCACCTCTGATGGAAAAGCTGCAGTGGCCCACTAATCATCTGCTGGCTTCCACTCTGACCTGAGCAAATCCACTGCACATGGTAGCTGACCTGTGAAATGTAAAGCAGACTGCATCACTGCTGAGGGATTCCATGACTCTTGGAATGAAATTCAAAATGTTCTCCGTTGTTGAAAAGCAGTCTAACCAGGCTCCTGGGAATGTCTCCAACCTCAAGTCATCCCACTCTCCTTCTTGCTCAGGATCCCTGGGAGCTTTGGCTTCATTTTAGTTTCTTGATCCATCCTCATTCCTGCCTCAGGGTCTTGTATCTTCAGCCCTCTGCTCAAATGACACTTTCTTGAAGAATAATCTGCCGTTACCCTGTCTTATTTAATCAGGGTGTTGTCTCCTCCACTAGAACATAAGCTCTATGGAAGCAGAAATGGAGGGCCAGGGCCTAGCATCGTGCTTGGCACTGGCTTGGCACGCACAGGTATTCCACACAGCTGGTAACGTTCACCACTGTAGTGTGTGATTATGTGAGAAGTGCACCGTAACTATAATCATGTGATAACTATAATTAAGATGTGAGTCTGCCTAACACCCTAAAAAATTTCCTCATGTTATTTGGTAGGCAATTTTGCTCCTAATCCCAGCTCCTGAAAAAAATCATGCATTTGCTTTTGTCCTTCTAGTTTTGCTTTTTTCCAGGATGCCAATAAGTACGTTTTAATAAATGAATGCCGATACCCTTTTGCTGCTCTCCCTTTGACTCTAGAGAACAATCTGCTGAGTGCTCATTTCAGCCCTGATTGTTCCCCACTTACTCCTTTACTCTAAGCGTGTGCTAAATGATAGAAGCTGGAAGATCGGATGATGTGTTTCCTCCCGTTCCTGGCAATCTTCCTATCTCCTGATTCTTCCTTTGACTCATATACGAAGAGGGAACCTTCCTTTTCATTTAAATTTTTTTTTTTTTATTTTAAAGAGGATAAAGCTAAACATAACAAAACAGAACAAAGTAGATCAGAAGAAAACAATGTAAGTGCCACAGATTTCAAAGCAAGATAACAGGATTTTCTTTTCTAAAAACCAACTTCTCTTAGGAGCTCAACATCATTTTATTTTTCTAACATTCTCCTTATGTGCACCAAACCACAAGCTCCAGGAGGCTAGAGACTGACTGTGTTCTCCTTGCTGCACATAACACCTGATACCTCCCGGCATGAGGAACACCTGGGGCATGAGTGACTTCCAGACTCTGTCCTTTTTTAATCAGGTGTGTTCAGCATGCCACAGTTAGATGGCCACTCTATGGTCTGACCCAGACTGGGAGGTCTTCCTTGCTCACCACCTCAGGATCTCTGCATTCACTTTTCTTTCTGCAGGGCAAGGATGTTCTTCTGGTCATCAATCAGTCTTAGGTCTCAGTTCTGATGTCCCTATTGAAGGTACCTTGCCTGACCTTCCCCTCTTAATCACATCACTGAATTAAACTAATTGGTTTCCGCAGGAGCACAGAGAGCTTGCTGTTAATGTTCAAGGCTGCCTTAGAGACTAACTCCTGCCCTCAGTTCACCCACACCCTCTTAATTAACTTTATATGGCCCTCCCCCCATCAGGAATCTCCTTACTTTCCCCTGCAGGCAGGCATACCTCTGTGAGGTTCACTCACATTATGAGACTGTGTCTAGTCCTGGGTGGAAAGCATAGGAAACTGTTTGGCTCATGTACCAAACTCTTTTCAGACTTCATGAATGTTGGTAGTAAGCCCCAGCAACCTTAGATGCTGATTTTTATCATCTCAGGGCTGACACCGCTCCTCTCTGCGTTAGCTTAGTGTTCAAAACTTGGCCTGGGAGACACAGGGAAGCTTCCTCTTTCTCTTTCCCTGATGACATTACAGGACTCACTCAATGGTCAGCTTGATGAGGGACAACCATCTTCTTGGTTCCTAGCTCTGTGCGCTCCTCACCCTGACTCCTCACCTGCCCTGTTCTCTTGCTCTTCAGTCCTTCTTCAGTAGACCACAGGTCTAATTTCCTACTCATCCATTCTCTGTATTTCAATTTGTTTTTAAAAACAATTTTAAGCATATACAAAGTTACAGAGAATGATTTATAACACATGTATGTGTTACCAAGCTGTCAAATTTTAATATTTGTTACATTGTTTCTAATCTTTTTTAGGCTGTGCCTAAGAATTACCTAGAAGCTATTATTGATGACCTATTTCCTAACCAAATATTCCTAATAGTCAGTTTACATATTATTTTAGGTTGAAAAAACCCTGGAAGTAAAACAATGTACCTTCGATCCTCTGCTGCTGTTTTTTTAACAGTTGGATTAGTTTGGGTATCATCTGGGACTCTTTCGTTTCTGGTTGTGACACTAGCTTGAGTTTTGGGAGCTGTCTTGCTCAGGAAATGCTTCTGGGGAAAAGTCTTTTTCAACTTGGGGTCCACAGTCTGTGCTCTTTGTTGAAAGCTGTTGGTTCCATTTGTCCTTATGCTAGGAGTCATTGGAAGGACTGAAAGAAAGTTGCCAGCTTTCAAATTAGGCCTCTGGTTTTCGGATTTTGACTTTAGCAGTTCATGTGTCTGGGACCTAAAACAAGGTTGTGTGGACTTCTGGTCTTGCTTGCTGTTTGGATGTCTGTTGTTAGGTCCTCCCTGCAGTGAACTGAGGTGTGTCCTGGGTTTGGTGTGTTTTACTTTCTCTTCAGTAACAGTGTGTGACTGTACCTGACTTTCTTTTGGTTGTCCATATTTGCTCCTGTTAACCATCACATCCTTTATGTTCTTGACCACTGGCTTCTTTGATGCTTGGGTCCTATGAAGGGTCTGACTGAAGTGAGAGGGAATTGTCCTTGAGGGTTTTTCTTGTCTTGCAAGCTCTACTCCTTTAGAGAGCTGCTGTAACTTTACTGGTAGAGTCCTAGTTTGTGTTTTTCTAACAAACTGCTTATTAACCCTGTCTTTCAGAACAGCACTGCTCATCACACTTTTGCCCAAGACCTGTTTAGTAGTCAAATGGCTCTTGGTTTGATTATAAGAGTTAGTCTTTGGCTTACTTATGGTACATAATGCAGGATCTGGCTTCTTCTCAGGTTCTGACAAGGTTTGAAGCAAGTTCTCCTTGTTCAGCTCTTTGAGCAAGCCATCCAAAGATTTGTTTTGCACATGGGTGTCTGTATATTTTGCATTTGCTTGAGCTGTAACCCGCTGCTTTGTAGATTTTGGTCCCTGTGTCTTAGGTGACCTCATGGGTTTGCTTGACAGATTTTCTGTAGTGGATGGTCCAGCTTCATGTTGCTGGTGACTCTTGCTGGAAGGTTTACAGGTTGGGTTAGAGGAAACACCTCTTGAAGTCAGACTTTTGCCCACAAGTTTTGGTCCCTCTAACTTTGGCTTCTGGGACCCTGGTACTGTAGCTGGTTTGCACTGGAGTTTAATGTTGATGGACCTTGTAGTTTTGACAGGCAAAACAGCACGGTTGGTAACATCATTTTTGAGTTTAATGGTCTGAAAAAGACAAAAAATATTCATAATAGCTCACTGTTTTTAAAATATAACTTTCAACACATGCTAGGAAGAATTATTTTATTGAAAATTTCATTTAGGAAAATAGAATCATGAGAAAGACTGACCTCAGTAATAGCTGACTTTCATAATGTGAGTTCCTGTTAGAAGTGTATAGACAGAATTAAGCAGACCCAGTGGATATACAAAAACCATTCTTTCAGAAATGAATTTGCCTATATTGAATGTACCTTGCTGGGTGCCCATCATGCTCCAGCGAAGGGCCTTCCTACGGCCCTGGGAAGATATGTCCATAATGAACTTATTATATTAGGGTATCTCTCATTCTTTCAAATTCTTCCTTGTACTTTGTATAGGCACACAAAGAAACAAAACAAAAAAATCCCCCAACTTAAAAACAAAACAAAACATTGCCTTTGTAAACACCACACCACCAAAGAAAGGGGGGGAAAAAGGTGTATTACAGGTCGAAATATCTCAAAACTTATCTTGTCCCCAGAAAAGAGCAATGAGGTCAAAGATTGGTGAGGAATATTGCGAGGCTGGAGATACAGTGGGACAGATTTCAGCAAACATTTAGCATCTCCATGGACAGTTAGTCATCTCTATGAAGCCAATCAGGACAAGATTTTAAGGTCAGACTCTTCGTGATTAATAATTAAGCATTTTAGTAAAGTGACTTAATTTTGGATAAGAAAGGGAAGGAATTTAGAAATGATACCATAAATATAGAAGCCACCACCATGGACTCCAGTGCCTCTGGGGCAGCGATTACTTATGAAACTCTTGCATATTTAAAGAATATATGTCTCCAAGGGAAATATGGAAATGTTCTGTATTTTTAACCTGACAGTGTTGTGAAGGATCACTGAGTAAACTTGGCGAGGAAACTAAAAAGGAAATCTGAAACAAGTTGCCCATTTGGCCAGCGGCATCAGAATATGAGGAGCCGCTCAGGGTGCAGCAGGGAGGGTTGGAAGTGGGAGGCAGAAGATGGTTGCCCCACCTACCTAGATCCAGGTCACTTCATGGTTTACTAAAAAAGAGGGGATATTTGTAAGAAAGCTTCCAAATTAGTCGTATTTTTTGGTAGTACTTCTACATTACAGATATTGAGATATAATTCAAGTACCATAAAACTCACTATTATGAAGAATACAAATCAGTGGGGCTTTAATAATCTCTACTAGTTAATGTCAGAACATTATCATTGTCCCAGGGAGAAACCTGGTACTTGTCAATTGTTCTCTATTTCTCTCTCCTGGGAGCCTCTGACAACCACTAATCTACTTTCTGTTTTTCTATCTCTACAGATATGCCTATTCTGGGCCTTTTATACACATGGAATCATGCAATATATGGCTTTTGGTGTCTGGCCCCTTTTACTTAGTGTAATGTTTTCAAGATTCACCCAAGTTGTAGCATATATCAGCGCTTCATTACCTTTTAAAAAATTTAATAAACTTTAGTTTTAGAGAAGTTTTAGGTTAACAGCAAAACTGTATAGTGGGTTCTCATATACCTGTTTCCACACATGCAGTTTATCTTGCTTAGGGCTGAGTAATATTCACTTGTGTAATGATGTACATTTTGGTTTTCTTTTCATCACTGAATGGATATCTACCTTGTTTACACTTTTGGGGTTTTGAGTTATGTTGTTATGAATATTTGTGTATAATCTTTTATGAATATATATGTTGAATTTTCTTGGGTATATACCTAAAAACAGAATTTCTAGGTCATATGGCAAACCTATGCTTAGTTTTTGAGGAACTGCCAAATTGTTTACCAACAGAGCTGTACCAATTCACATTGTCACCTATACAGTACAAGGGTTCCAATTTCTCCACATTGTCCCCAAGACCTGTTATTATCTTTTTAATATCAGCTACCTCAGTGGGTATAAAGTAGTGTCAGACTGTGGTTTTCATTTGATTTCCCTGATGTCTGTGCATTTCTTCATGTCTTTATCCTCTTTGAGAGGTATCTACTGTGATCCTTTACTCATTTTAGAATTGGCTTGTCTTTTAATTGTTAAGTTTAAGAGTCATATATCTTGGATACTAGAACCTTATCAGGCATATGACTTGCAAAAGTTTTGTCTTACACCTTTTGTATCTTGAGTTTAGATCAGTCTGGTCTAGCTAACTTATTACAGGAAGTAGGATAGGTCACACTGTTTCAAGAGTTCTGGAAAAGATTTTAGAGATCATTAAATTCAGTCCTTTCATTTGAGAAATTGAGGTGCCTAAGACTAGGCAGAAAGTCAGAGCTCAGTTGGAAATGGAACTTTAGTCTATGAACCTTGCTTTCTGACTCTGTCTCTCAATCTAATGGACCATATTGAACCAAAACAGACAATATTTACAAGGAGTGATTGATCTCAACTTAAATTGCTCTCTTTACTCTGGGCATATGAAATATGAAAAGAGAAGATTTACAAAAGGTATAATTTAAATCAACAGAGATTTACTGAATGTTGACTGCATGATGGGCACTGTACTAGACTCTAAGGGGACATAAAGATGTGGTCACACTTGTCCCTGAGCAATTCTGGTAGAAAAGATAAAAACAAAGAAAACTGTGAAGCAAATAAGGGGCATCACAGGGCTGGGATTATGGGTGGTTTTCAAATATTTTTTGTTCATGTACTCCCAAAGTAATTTCGTTCAACTCTATACCCCAGAATTTAGCTCATATATTTAATGTTAATTATTGCTATAATGAGAAAAGGTTGTGCATAATCCCCTCCCCCCTTTTTCTAATAAGTGAATAGGACTAGAAGGTATTTTGTTATAGCAGTAACACTCCATGTTTTGAGCTTCTCTAGAAGTAGGTGCTAAAAATCTCTCAGCCAAAAATAATTTTCAGTGTTTTACTAGACACAGTGTTGAAAGCAAAGAACTGAAAACCACCTGAATGGCAATCCTGTTATTTCAGATGGCCTCCTGATTTTGTACGCTGGAGGTATTTCCATCCTGGAGTAAAGCAGCATATCAAGATTAGGGATGAGATAGGTGAGTGATTTGCCTATATCAAGTGAGAAAAGAAAGAACTGAAAAGAAGAAGGAAGGGTAAAGGTACTAAGGGAGGTAGGAAAGGAGAAACAGCATGTGAGATGGAATCTTAATCAATTTTAGGTCAGTGCATGTACAAAAGTTGAAGATCTGGGAATGACGGTTATAATATAAGCCTGCATACTTTTTATGTACCTCCAGAACACATATCCCAGGCTGCTGGTGTTAGTAAGAATTTCAGTGTTTATTAACTCAATTCTTTCACACAACTCTAAGAGCTGTCTCCTATTACACCCATTTTATAGATGCAGTTACATAGCTTGCCCATGGTCACTTAGTTCTAAAATGGAGTTAGGATTTGGATCCAGGCAGGCAGTAAATTACATAAATTATAATGACTACGACTTGCGTTTTTTAAAGTTTGTCCTAAATTCTGAAGTTTCCTTCTCCTTTTTATCTTTGGAACTGTGTACAGCAGATAATGCAGGTACTACTCTCATTTAAGTGATGATTTATTGAGGAACCTTCCCAGCAGATTTTTTTCTTTTAAAACCTGCATCCTAGCAGGATGCAGTGGTGCATTTCTGTAATCCCAGCAGTCTGGGAGGGTGAGGCAGGAGGATCACAACTTTGACCCCAGCTCAGGAAACTTCACAACTGACCAAGAACCATCTCAAAATAAAAACATAAAAAAGGCAGGGGATATAGCTCAGTGTGAAGGCCTTGGGTTCAGTGCTCAGCACAGGGAATAAAAAAAAAGATATATCCCACAATCCTACAATGGTACAATCTGAATAAAGTAGAAGTCTAAACAAGTGTTTCCCTACTGTTTATATCACTGAGCACTCATTTCCCCTTATGTACATAATTTATTCTTCAGTGTCTAAGATATCATGCATACACAAAGCACATAATATCTATATGGACACATACATGCCCATATATGTATATATATGTGTGTGTGTGTGTGTGTGTAATGACTGAATCATTAAAACTTATAAAATTGGCACTAATATCTCACTTTGGCCAACACAATTTCAGCTTACCTTAGAACTTTGGTAAAATTATTGTTTCAAAAATTAGGAATAGGATTTTACGGATAACATTATTTTATTACAGAAGAATTTGTAATCTTTTTGAAAGGCTAATTTCTCTCATTTAAATCTTAAAAATGTCAGAATCCTTTTCATTCTACCCACAATCTAGCTGTACTGAACTGTATAGGAATTGTATGTTTTGTTAAGCAGCTTGGAAGGTCCAACATCGGTACTCACTTCATGGAGAATACCAGGGTGTAAGAGCTATGTGACCTCAGAACAATATTTAACCTTTCCATGACTCAGTTCCCTCATCTGAACCATGGGGCTACTAATATACAGTCCCTACCCTTCCTGAAATTGTGAGGACTTGGTCGTTAATGCAGGTTAGGAGACACCAGGCATAGAGTAAATATTCAATAAATGGTGGCTATCAAGTGTGTACTTACGGGATTTTTGGTTATCAAACTAAACTAGAGGAAGCTGGGAAGATGGCAGATCAATAAGTAGCAAAGTAAAGAGCCTCTCTGGGAGAAAGAGCTCAGATGCTGGAATTTGACATCATGGGGAGGACCAGACAAAAGAAGGATCCTGATGGTCCAGGGAGAAACTAAAGTGGAGAAAAAAGAAAGAACAAAAAAGAAAAAGAAAAGAAAAAAAAAAAGGAAAGGAGAAGCGTGAATGGAAAGCTGTAGCCAGACTTGCTCTCACTGCAGCTGATCCCACTGCGAGGCTGGAATTGGAGGATGCGTAGTCGCAGTGAAGTTGGGGATTGGCAAACCCGAGTGCCTAGGTGGGAGCGGCAGAGCAGAGAATGGAGCCGGCATGGAGATCTGCACCGGCGCAGAACTTAGTCCTCCTGTGGGAGTGAGTGATTAGCTGGGCAACATTTTGAAGTTGGGCAAGACAAGCCCGGATCCAGAACCGTAATGATTTCAGTTAGCTACTCCTAGCACAGAGCAGATCGGTAAGAATTGCTGGGACTGAGTTCCATCCCGTGCAGGATTCAATAGCCAAGGACAAATTTTCCCCTTAAGCTATCCCATACCAGTTCCATCCACACAGCACACACTAACATGGTAGATCCACAGTGGTTGACCAGCTCAGAGGGAGGGGCCAGCCTGCACCACCCTTGCTTATACCCTCAGTGGTCAACAGCAAACTGGGGAGGGTAGCAATCCCTAGCCAGCACCCTTCAGAGTAATCATAACCAATACAGAACGTGCTTGGGACCTCTACTATACACTTGGCTGGAAAAATCCAGAAACAGGACAAGAGAAAGAGACAAAAGGAAGTCTCCAGCCTCCAACCCAAAGAATATGGCCTGGGAGAGGTAAACACAGAAGAGATCAGGAGCTGCACACCTGCAGTATTGAAAGCGACATCATCTGACATCAAGAAATATCTTTGTGACATTATAGAAGGACTCAAAACAGAAATACTAACACAAGTAAAGGAAGATATAAGAAATTAAAAGAAATGCTAAGCACCTCTCAAGAAGACCCAGATGGAAGAATGAAGGAGCATAGAAAAAGGGGGGAAACCTTTGATGAAGAATATAAAAAAAATCTAGAATACATGAATCAGATTCAAAAAAATACTAGGAAGTTAAAAACTCCATTGAAAGCTGGAAAAACTGCTTGGAAGACACTAACGATAGACTATCAAACCTTGAAGACAGGTTTGCAATGTGTGATCGTGAAAGAAAAAAATCTCTTCAAAATAACAAGGAACCAGGAAGTAACAATAGAGAGGCTAAAAGATGACCAGAGGATCTATAACTTAAGAATAAAAAATGTGAGTAAAGAAGCAGGGGTAAACACAAATGAAATACAAAGGCTATTTACAGAAATAATTAAAGAGAATTTACCAAGCATAGGAAAAGGAAATGATATTCAGATATATGAGGCATACAGAACTCCAGCTGGCTACAACCAAACTAGATCTGCACCCAGACATATAATAAGATCCCAGAAATTCAACACAAGAATAGAATATTAAAAGCTGTCAGAGAAAAAAAAAAACAGATCATCTATAAAGGCAAACCCATCAAAATCACAACAGACATCTTGACTCAAACCATCAAATCAAGAAGAGCTTGAGTGAAGAATTCCAAGCCCTGAAAGAAAATAACATCCAACCCAGATTGATGTACCCTGAAAAACTATCTCTCAAAATTAATGGAGAAACAAGATGCTTTCATGACAAAGAGGAACCGGGGGAGTTTGTGACCACCAATCCAACCCTACAAAAAAAATACTGAAAGACACTCTAGAGAGAGAGAAAAAAACCCAAACAAACCATGGTTTCAGGAACAGTGGCAGGGAGGCCTCACTGAATGGGGCAGACAGTAAAATGAAGGGGAAAAGTAGACAACCAATGGCAGAAAAATAGCATGGCTGAGATGAAGCAGAGAAGATTGGCTATAATCACTAACATAGATGGCCTCAATATACTAACAAAAAGGAATACAGGCAGAGTAGATCAGGAGATAGGGCCCATGAAGATACTCTATACAAGAAATATAATTAACCTGAAAGAGGGTTTATGGACTGAAAGTCAAGAAAATAAAGCTCTATGTGATAGGGAATCAGAAAAAAATGGGGGTAGCCCAGCAGCTACAGATAGGTTGGAAAGACACAACACTTTTATACAATGGAGAGCTACTCAGCTACAAGGAAGGAAAACCTTGAGACTCTTGTAGGTAAATGGATACAACTTGAGATCAAGCTCAGTGGTTCAGAATCACTTAGGTAAGTAGCGGGCTGCCTCCCTAATCTAAAACTAAAGGAGTTAGTGGGATACAAAATGTACAGTGCACCCTGTGAAAGTGAAAGCGGAGGAATTGTCTAAAAGGGAAGGCAGAGGACATTGTTAGTCTTGTATCAGGATATGAAACTTACATTGTTCTTATCACTCTGTTTAGTTTGGTTAAATTCTGTTCCAGTCTGTCTATTTGTACTAGATTTGAGGGCACAGATGGCTATTCAAAAAATAGCAGGATATACTATGGTAACCATCTTTAATTTCCTGAAACCTTGTATTGCCTTCACTGCCTTGATTTGACTGATTTTATTTGAATCTGTTATATTTGATAGTATCAAGTCTGAGAGTTTGGCAACTACTCTGAAGACAATAAGATTCACTAGGATACCCATTTTGGTTTAACTGTTACCTGCTTTTGAAGACCTATAATGTCTCCAATGCTTTGTTTTTATTGCTTTTGTTCTGTATTGCTATGCTCAATTTTATTGTGCCTGATGATGTGGGCAATTCTATTGAAGATAACAAAAGACATCATAGTAACCATTGTAAATCACGTTTTATTGTGTTTTTTTAATTTTTATTTTCAACTTTTTTATTTATAGTTTTTATTGTTATTTTAAATCATGTACTATGTCCATCCTTTGTTCTGAATGATCCCATTTTGTTTTCTTTCTTATTTGGTTTTATTCTTTTAAAAAAAAACAACTTAATTTCTACTTACAGATTTAGAAGGTGGTGGATTTGGACAATTATTCTTGGCTTTTAGATAAGGCCTATAAAAGAAAAAATAAAATTAATCCTTAGTACAGAATCAACAAAGCTTGGAAAAAATGATGATTAAGACTTTTGATTGGAATTTTAACGCATTAGAATTTCCACTGTATGGTAAAATAATTCAAAACTATTATTCAATAAAATCTCCCTATTATACCTTCTTTAGATTTGTATTCTCCTGCTTGGACCCATCGCTTTGTTATTCTTTCAGAGATACCCTTTGCATTAATGAAGCATTTCAACAATGTTAGTGACATATATGTGGGCTTATTCATTTGCACATTATCCCTTCATACTGTGATGTGCTAGATACTGGAGATAAAACAGTAACTATTTGTTTAAAAAACTTCCTTATTATATATATTTTTTAAACTGAAATTTCAAGGTGAAAATTGATATATATTTTATATATATATATATGGATGGAAAATGACCATGAAATTTTATATATATTAATTCACAAAAAACCAATGTAACTATTATATATTGTGAACATACACTAATTTAAAAAGGTGATATAAAGCTGACCCTTCATATAATTCAGTCTGTGGTTCTAACCAATCTGCTCAAAAATATTGGAGGAACTAAACTGCATATATGTGGAACAGTATAAACATTTTATTGTTATCCCCTAAACAATACAGTAACTACTTACTACAGAGCAGTTACTTTTTTTTTTTCATACCTGGAATTGGACTGGGGCCTCCTGCTGGTCAGGCTGGCCTTACCATTGAGCTATATCCCTGACCTAGAGCAGCTACTTTGTATTACATGTTAGAAGCAATTTAGAGCTGATTTAAAGTATACAGAAGCATATAAGCAGGTTACATGCCAATACCACACCATTTTACATAAGAGACTTGAGCATTAGTGAATTTTGACATCTGTGGGGAGTCCTGGAAGCTATCCCCCATAGACGCTGAGGCAGAAATTAGAAAAAGAGGGATACTGTGAAAATCTAGCTACTGAGATGAAAGGGTGGTGGCAGGATGGTGGGGTGAGGAGGAGACTTTAGAAAGATTTAATCTCCACGGACCAGAACAATTGCTAGACTAACAGGGACTTTGATTACCTAGTGTGGGAGGACAGAGACTACTCTGTTTTATTAAGCACCATATTTCTCCTAGTAAGTGACTGACACATTATAGGATGGATTAAATATTCAGAGTAGTTTTTAATTAATTGAATAATTAATTTTGGTTTTCTGAGACAGGAGCTTACTATGTAGTTCAGGGTGCCTTGAACTCACTATATAGCTCTGGGTAGCCTGGAACTGTGGGCATCTTTTTGTCTCAGCCTCCTGAGTGTTGAGATTACAGGCACACCCTGCAATGATTTTTAATTTAATTGGAGAAACAGAATTGGGTAAAAATCCAAGATAAAATAAAGAATAAAAGTTAACTTAGTAAAAATTAATTTTCAAATAAAAGTTGAGCAACCCAGTTGGGAAGAAAATGTATCTATACATAACACCATAACGATGGTAACATGTTGACAAAGATGAGGGAAATGGTTTTGTTCTGTGCATCTTGAAAGTGAATGCTGAGAATGATCAAAGGATCAAAGAGCATCTTTGGACTAGAAGATGTTAGTGTGTTTCTGTGTTGAAATGAGAACTGGCTCTGCTGCTTTGGTAAGAAAGAACCAGGATCATTGAACTCCTTAGCCAAAAATTGCCTAGAGGAGAGTAACTTTTACCCAGAAAAACAGAGGCTAAGTAAAGCTTCCAGCATGGTACGTAATACTGTCAATAGTTTCTTCTTTTCTTTGGAGAGTATCATAATAACACTTAAATCTCTGCCAATAGATTAGTCACTCTCACAGGTATTGTCATGCTGGACTGAAATGCTCTTTTTGAGTTATCTTAGAATTCTAATGCAGGCTGAGCAGGTTGCAGGCCAAATGGTTATGTTTTGAAAAGGCTTCAAGTTGCTCTTAGCAACAAGGGCAACACAATTGGCATAACTTGGGGGAGGAAAACTCACTTGGTGTTTTGGTTCTTCAGTTTTCCCTTGGCTGCTAGGTATTCCTGCAGCTTCTTCTGCCGTTCTTCTGAGAAACAAGCAAGCAAACAAACAACAGAACTTTAGTTTGAGGGTTTAATCAGTTCTTTCACATTCTAAAAGATGACAATTTTCCACAATGATTTTGGCTATGCAGCAAGTCCTCAGTCCTGTAAGTCTACCTTAAGGTCAACATCAATAATAGAGTTTAAAAGCTGGGCCCTATACTAAGCTCACTCTCATTACTTTTTTTCATCTACAACAATTCTATGAGGTATCCTGTAATCTGAAATTTAGAGAGGGCAAAGGACATGCTTTAAAGTTACCCAGGTAATATGTAGCAAAGCCAGGATTCAAAAGCAGATTTATTCAACCCTAGAATCTTTGTTCACAGTCACTATTTCCAGCTACAAGACACCCTGCTTTATGTGAAGAAATCCTTTTATTGGCCTACGTGAGCTGCTGAGCTAGGCCCGGGTGAGAATGTTTTACACATAAACCCTTACATAATTTTCTTTAGGACTAAAAAAAAATTACGCCAGGCTAGAGGGTTTATGGAAAACATCTACATAATGATTACTGTTAAAAAACATCAATACAGATTGAGCATCTTTAATTAAAAAATCTGAAATCCAAAATGTTCCAAAGTCTAAGATTAGTGGAGAAAATTCCATACCTGACTTCATATGTTTGGTCTTAATCAAAGCGCACTAAAAATACTGCACAGAATCAACTTCAGTCCATATATATAAAGTGTACATGAAATATATGTGAATTTCTTGTTGATATTTGGGTTCTATATCTAAAATATCTCATTATGTGAAATATTCCAAAATCTTAAATATGAAATACTTCTGGTCCCAAGCATTTCAGATAAGGGAGACAGCCTATATTTCTGCCCTCAAGAAGTTAGTTTAGTAGTGACAATAAATAAACACAACAGAGTTCCGGGAGCCAAAGGTGTGCAAGTTAATTCCCAGCACACGGGGAAGCTTTGGAACACTGCTCCCAGGCCATAGGACCAGGCCCAGCATTCCAAATCACTCAAGTCCCCTGGGGCCTACCTGGGACATGCTCAGTGACCTTCAAGCAGTTAGCAGGGGCATGAATACAGTCCTGGGAGCCAAATGTGCGCCAGATGATTTCCAGTGTACAGGGAAGCTTTGAAAGGTCGCTTGAAACCCAGAAATACAGGAAAGTGACAAAACGAAAGAGCAAAATGCCATCTCAAGCTTTCAGCCCAACTCTAGCAAGCCTAGGAGACATGGATATAGAAGAAAATGTAAGCCATACACCCGAAATTCTTGAAATGATAACAACTGAAGTAAACAAACAACTCTGGCAAGCTATAAAAGAACTCAGAACAGAAATAATCTCCCAGGTAAAAGAAGAAATGATAAATGCAATGAAAGAGATGCTGAACACATCTAAAGAAGACATAGTTAAACAGAATGCATGAAGTACATTCAAAGAGATACACAGAAAATCAAAAATTCCATCGGAAGTTGGCAAAAGCGCCTCAGTGAAAGTGAAGACAGAATTTCAGAACTCAAAAGACAAGATTGAAGCTAGTGATCAGGGAAGGAAAGATCTTTTTAAAAATAACAAGGAATCAGGAAATAACAATTCAACAGCTGCAAGATGATGCAAAGAAAAACAACATAAGATAGGGATAAACAAAAAAGAATTTGATAACATAAAGGATATCAAGAGGTTATTTACAGAAGTAATAGCTGAAAATTTCCTAAACATGAGAATGGAAACTGACATATAGATCAGTGAAGCATATAGATATTCAAATAACCATAACCAAAATAAAACTATACCTAGACATACAATAATCAACATCCCAGAATCCAGAATAAGAACATAATATTAAAAGCTATTAGAAAGAAGAGACAGATCACCTATAAAGGAAAGCCTATCAGAACACAGCAGACTTTTCCACACAAATAATAAAGTCAAGAAGAACATGGAGTGAAGTATTTCAGATCCTAAAGGAAAATGACTTCCAACACAGACTAATGCACCCGGCAAAACTGTCCTTCAGAACTGATGTTGAAATAAGATACTTCCATGACAAAGAACAGCTGAAGGACTTCATGACCACCAAACCAACCCTGCAAAAAATATTGAAAGACACTCTAGATAGACATAGGAAAAAACCAATAAGCAAGGCAAACAATTAAACAGACTGGAAAGATAAAGACTCAACAGCAGAGAGATAACATGTCACAAGTAAACAAATATATACCAGTTATAACCATTAATGTAAATGGTCTCAATTCACTGATCAAAAGAAACAGACTGGCAGAATGGAGCAAGAAACAACATCCAACCATATGCTTTATACAAGAAACCCATCTACACTAAAGGAAATTCATAGACTGAAAGTCAAAGGATGGAAAATAATACTTTATGCAATAGGATCCCCCCAAAAATCAGGGGGAACTATTCTGTTTGCAGACAATGTGAACTTCAAACCAAGAATGATCCAAAGAGACAAAGGTCACTACATACTAGTTAGGGGAAAACTTCAAGAGGAAGAGATAACAATCTTAAATATATGCACCAAATTCAGGAGCACTCAGCTATATAAAACCAGCTATATAAAACAAATTTTAACAGAATTTAAAAATGAAATAAGCAACAACACAATTATAACAGGAGACCTTAACATGCCATTGACACAAAGGGACAGGTGAACTAGACAGAAAATCAGTAAAGAAATAACAACTGAATCACACTTGTGAACAAATGGACTTGGTGGACATATACAGAATGTTCCACCCAACAGCATCAGTATATACATTCTACTCAGCAGCACATGGGACAGTCTCTAAAACAGACCATATTCTAGCCCACAGAACATGCTTCAGTAAATGCAAAAGAATTGAAATTATCCCATACATGTTATCGGATCATAGCACCAAGAAACTAGAAATTAATGACAAAAGAAACTGCAAAAGCCCCACAAACACATGGAAATTGAATAATACACTCCTGAGCAATCAGTGGGTCACAGAGGAAATTAAAGAAGAAATTAAACAATACCTATAAGCAAATGAAAATACAAATACATCTTACCAGAACCTTTTGGATGGAATGAAAGCAGCCCTCAGAGGAAAATTTATTGTGGCAATGTCCCATATCAGGAAAACAGAATGAACACAAATAAAAAACCTGATGCTACACCTCAAACATCTAGAAAAAGAAGAGCAAGTCAAGCCCAAAGCCAAAAAAGGGAGGAAATTATAAAGATTAGAGCAGAAATCAATGCAATAGAAATAAGAAAACAATACAAAGAATCAATGAATCAAAGAGTTGGTTCTTTGAAAGAATAAATAAAATTGATAAGCCCCTAGCCAACTTTATTTTAAAAAGGAAAGAAAAACTCAAATTCATGCAATAAGGAACGAAAAGGGTGAAATCACTACAGATCCTGTGGAAATACAGAAGATCATCAATACTTATTTCACAAACATGTACTCTCATAGGCTTGATAACACAGAAGAAATGGACATACGTTTCCTAGAAACATATGAATTATGAAAGGTGGGTCAAAAGGATGTAAAACTGCTGAATAACCCAATTTCAACTAACAAAACTAAAAATGTAATTAAATCCTTACCAACAAAGAAAAGCACAGGTCCAGAGGGATTCCACAAGAAATTCAAAGATTGAATGCCACCATTCCTCAAATTCTTCAATGAAAATGAAAGGGAAACAATTCTCCCTAACTCATTCCTGGAAGCAAATACTACTCTAATACTAAAACCTGAGAAAGACCCAACCAAAAAAGAGAACCACAGGCCAATCTCCCTAATGAACATCGATGCAAAAATTCTCAATAAAATATTGGCATACAGAATGTAGCAAGTCATCAAGAAGATTATACACCATGACCTAGTGGGATTCATCCTGGGAATGCAAGGATGGTTCAACATACGCAAATCAAAAAATGTAATCCACCATATCCATAGAGTCAAAAATAAGAATCAGATGGTCATTTCTATAAATGCAGAAAAAGCTTTTAATAAGGTCCAACACACTGATGATAAGAACCTTACTGAAAATTGGAATACATGGTCTTTACTTCAATATGATAAAAGCCATCTATGACAAACCAACAGTCAGCATCATATTAAATGACCAAAACCTGAAAGCCTTTGCCCTAAAATCAGAAACAAAACAAGAATGTCCATTATTACCACTCCTATTCAATATAGTGCCGGAAACACTAGCCAGAGCAAATAGACAAGAGAGAGAAATAAAAGGGGTAAAGATAGGAAAAGAAGAGGTTAAATTATCATTATTTGCAGATGACATGATATTCTACATAAAAGACCCCCAAAACTCTATTGAAAGACTTTTAGGTATAATAAATAAACTCAGTAATGTAGCTGGATACAAAGTCAACACTCAAAAATCAATAACATTCCTTTATACTAATGATTAAATCACTGAGAGAGAAATAAGAGTAGCTACACCCTTTACAATAGCATCCAAAAATATGAAATACTTCAGAATAAATCTAACAAAAGAAGTAAAAGATCTATTCAGGGAAAATTATAATACCCTGAAAAAGAAATTAGAAAATGGAAAGACATCCCTTGTTCCTGGATAGGAAGAACAAACATTGTGAAAATGGCCATTCTCCAAAAAATGTTATACAGATTTAATGCAATCCCAATCAAAATACTACTAGCATACTTCACAGATCTAGAGAAATCACTCCTAAAATTCATATGGAACCAGAAGATACCTAGAATAGCAAAGGCAATTCTAAACAACAAAGGCAAGGCAGGAGGTATCAAAATCCCTGACTTGAAGTTATACTACAAAGCTGTTGTAATAAAATCAACATGGTACTCGATAAAGGGCCAAACACATTCACTGAACGAAAGATAGTCTGTTTAATAAATGGTGCTGGAAAAACTGGCTCTCCACTGAAAACTAAAACTAGACCTATGCCTACCACCATGTAGTAAACTAAAGTCTAAATGGATCAAAAATCTAAATATTAAAACAGAAACACTAACTCTGTTAGAAGATAAAGGAGATAGAAATCTTGAAGATATAAGGGTAGAGAATTTATGAACAAGAATCAAACTGCATGTGAAACACTTCATAGAATCAGTAACTGGGATCACATACTATGAAAGTTTTTGCATGTCGAAAGAAATTTCCAGCATAATCAAAAGAAAAATCCACAAATTGGGAAAAAATCTTAGTGAACTGTCCTTTAGACAAAGGACTTCTGTCTAGAACATACAAAGAATTTTAAAAAATCAGATCCCTGAAATTCAAAGACCCATTCTAAAAATGGGCATCTGAGATGAATACATATTTTTCAGGGGAAGAGATACAAATGGCAAATAAGTACATAAAAAATGTTCAGCATTACTTATCATTAGAGAAATGTGAATTAAAATCACACTGAGATTCCATCTCACTCCTGAAGGAAGGGCCAGGATCAAGAAAATGGCCAACAACAAATGCTGGAGAGGCTGTGGGGAAAAAGGAACTCTCCTGCACTGTTGGTGGGAATGTAGACTGATGCAACCACTGTGGAGATCAGTCTGGAGGTTTCTCAGAAAGTTGGGATTGGAAGTCCCATTTGACCCAGCTATTCCACTTCTAGGCATATTCCCAGAACTGAAAACATCATACCACAGAGACATATGTGCACTTATGTTTATAGCAGCACAATTTGTAATAGCAAGATCTTGGAAACAACCTAAATGCCCATCAACTGAGGAATGGATAAAAAAGATGTGGTATTTTATACATTGGAGTACTACTCAGCTATAAAGAATGATCACATTGAGATATTTATAAGTAAATGGATATAACTCGAGACCATACTCTCAAGTGAAACAAATCAAACTTCATGTGTAAATACCATATAGTCTCCTTAGTTTAAGAAATGGTAAGAATATATAAATACAAAATACTAAGTACAGTGAAAGGATAAGGATTTGCTTACAGGGGAAAAAATAATATCTCAGGGAAAATGGGAAAAAAAAAGGAAAAGAAAAAATATCTAAAATTATATAAACATAGGATGGCTAAGATTGTGCTACAAATTATATGTTATTGAAACAAAAAGTCAACATTCATAGGATTGGAACAATTGTGCATACTATTGTATGGTGATCTGAGGAACTCTTGAAGATTATTATGTAAAATAACAACCCTAGTTATGCTCCTACTATCTTGTTTTGAAGGCCTATATTGTCAGTGTTTTGTGCTCTTTGCTATTGTTATTTGTCTTTTTTGTTTCATGTTTTTCTAGGAATTTGTTTTTTGTTTTTCCCTCTAATACAGAAAGGATAAGTATACATGTACAGACTCATACATGTGTAGAACTCCTAAAAAGTTTATGAGAATTGATTATATAATGCATGATGAAATGAACAGCTACTTTGAAGAAAAAGAGACACTATGGTATCCAGTGCTGATTCTGTAGCATCACTCTGTGCAATTCAGCAATACTATTATTCTTCGTTCAGAGTGATTTTAGTCTGTTTTGTATTGTTTAATTTCAACATACATGAAGGTATGGACAGCTATTTTGAAGAAAATGAGAGATACTATAGCAGCCATTGTTGATTTTTCTATTGTCTGGTTTTGAAGGCCTATACTGCCTGCGTCATTCTGTTCTAATCAGTTTAATACTATTTTGTTTTGCATGAATTCATTGTGTGGGAAAATATGAACAACTATTTAGAAGAAAATGAGACAATGATACCAGTGATGATCTCCTGTTGTCTTGCTTTGAAATCTGTGTCATTTATATTATTTTCTTCTGATCTGCTTTGTTCTGTTATGTTTAGTTTTACTCTCTTTAAAATAAAATTAAAAAATAACACAACAGTAATTACAATATAAGGCAACATCTAGGTGTCATAGAAAAAGGCAAAAAAAAAAGTATGGGAACTCAGAAGAAGGGAGCAGTGAGGGGAGCAGATAGTTGCAAAAGACTAAAATTATATAATTATTTTTGAAAAAAGAATGTACACTAAATAGTACACTAAAAATGTACACTAAAAAGGGTGTACACTAAATAGTTTTGCTTTCAGATTCTGATTCATCTATTATACAGCTGTGAGAAATTACATAACTAGGTCCATGCCAGACAGGGGTGTGCAGTCCCTGTGACTTCTGCCCAGTTAGCAAACCTTGCTGGCGCTGAGCCCATAGAGCGGTGACGGAAAGGTCCCTGTTGAAGGGTAAAGTGCCTAGGACGATGCTTAGGACCATAATCAGGCACAGCGGGCCAGCCAGTCTAGACACTTGTGTGCAAGCTGGAGAAGCTGGCATGTGGAGTGGACCCCCTAGTCCTCAGATTTAACCAATCAGGCTGCATGAGACTGGTGAGGGCACAGTCCCGCATCTGGCAGAAAATCCGGATTCGGACCCCGCCCCAACTCCCTAACTCCACCTGGTCGCTCCCAGGTGTAAAACTTCCGGCCCAGCGCAAAGGGCCACACCCTGCTCTGCTTAGACCAAATCTGCGTCCCTGGGGCAAAGCGCATGGCTTCTCACGGGTGTTTCTCACGGGAAAGCAGTCTTTGGTTCCCGACCTAAAACGCGGAGACGATGATGACATCGTTTTGCAGGCTTACAAGAAGGGACCTCGCAACTGCGCCCGAGTCTGGGTCTGGGCTCCATGCTAGGGATAACTGAGGCAGCAGATGGCCAACTGCCGCGGGACTCTCGGTGGCCTCTCTACTTCCTCGTCCGTACTCCAAGGCCTGCAAGAAACAGAGACTCGCGGTCACACTTACCTGCCGCGGCGGCGGCGGCAGCCGAGAGCCCCGACTTCACCATGACTGCTCCGCGACAATTTCTCTTTCAAAGGCCGCGCCAGGAGCCACTGCCCCAAGGTCGCGCTTCTGCGCTCTCTCATTGGCTCCTGAGGGTTTGAAACCTACCAATTGAAAGCACGGGAGGGCGGGCCAACAGGAAATAGACGCTTTGTGGTTGGCTTTGCCTTTCCCCGGGGCGTTTTGATTGGAAGAACGACAGTGTACGCTGTTGGGCCTCTGAGGATTCCCGGCTCTTTTTGGAGAGCTGTCAGTTCTCGTGGCGGTTGCTGTGTTGGTTGTGCGGGCGCCCGGCCGGTAGTGTCTTGCCAGGGCACTGCCTGGCGTCTTTGTTTTAGCCTCTCAGGTTCACAGGAGCTATGAAGAAGAGGGGTGGGTGGGTGAAAGAAACACAAAAGCCCAAATTTCCGATGGGTTAGAGCTTTGCCACACTATTATATAAATCAACCTGATAAAGCCAAAGTCTGTTAATTCTCTGCACTGCAGAGCGGCTCCTGTTTATTTTTAACTATAATGAAATAAGAGACCGTTTATCATTTGAACACTTTCTATTTTTTTTTTATCCCCCCGCCCCCCGTGGTACTGGGGATTGAACCCAGGGCCTTTGCCTTGAGCTACATTTTGTTTTTCATTTTTGACGTTTAAGTACGTTCACCTTGCTGTGCAAATCATCATCAAGTTCCTTTCAACTCTTAGATCTTTCCAGTCTGAAACGCCGTACCCATTTAACACTCGTGCCTGATTCCTTGCTCTTGTGGGCTTCTTTTTATCTGCATTTGAGGAGTTGTCTCCTGTGAGTGGAATCATGGCATGCATGTGTCCTTTTGTGACTAGTTCTTTCAGCGTAATATTCTCAGGCCTTGTCTGTGTGGTAACGTGTGCTAGCATTTCCTCCCTAAGGCTCAATAATATATATTCCATGGAATGTACAGACCACATTTTGCTTATCCACCTGTTCACAGACATGCAACCTGGTTTGCTTCCATCTTTGGCTGATGTGACCATGGATGCTATGAACAAGTGGGTACAATTGTCTCTTTTATATCTTCCTTTCAATTATTTTGGGTATTGTACCAAGAAGTGATGTTGTTGGGTCATATGGTAATTCTATTTAAAATTTTTTGAGCAACCACTATCTTTTTTTTCTTTTCTTTCTTTCTTTCTTTCTTTTTTTTTTTTGTACAGGGGATGGAACTCACAACTTCGCATTTGCTAAGCAGGCACTTATGCTGCTAAGCTAAACCCCCAGCACCACTATCCTTTTTTCAGGATGCCTCCTTTTAAACATGTATTTTCATTTGGCCAACTCAGCTAGGATGGCAGAGGGCAGGCTGAATTGTCCTCACTCCCAGGTACACACCGTTTCTCTGTTTCAGTCTGAAACATTTTTCACTTGAAGTTTGCCTTTTATGCTCTTGGCACCTTGTGTATCAGGGTGACTCCATGCTGGGTACTGGAAAGGTGGTAGATAGTGGGGTTCAGTTATATGTGGGCCCTGTTTACTAGGTCAACTTCACCAGTTGGATACTTAACAGGGCATGAAGCCACTGTCAACCCCATCCCCTTCTCTTTGGCCCCAAAAGGAGACTGGAAGAGAGCCATACCAGGTTTCTGGATTTACATTTTGACATTACACTAGCAGTATATGACTTTTTAAAGTGAGGAAATTATTAGGGAAAATAATAAGGATTTTAGTGAAAAGTTTGCCTCTGTCTAGTGTCATGACTTTGTGCCTAATGGTTAAATCTAGCAGCTAAGAAGAACTGTCTTTATCAATGAGTGTCATAATCACTTCCTTGTCACTAAGACAGAATACCTTACACCACAATTTAAAGGAGAGGGTTATTTTTGGTTTATGGTTCTAGTATGTGGTTAATTAGCTCCAAGGCACAAACAGGATGGCAGAGAGACATAGGACAAGGTGGAGGTAAAGATACTGTATCCATAGTAATGAGAGGGAGAGAGAGAGAGAGAGAGAGAGAGAGAGAGAGAGAGAGAGAGAGAGAGAGAGACACAAGGGCATTCTTTTCTTCCAGGTCATGCTCCTAGAGCCTGACTTCTAATCAGGCCCCACCTCTAATAGCACATTTGGAAGAAACCACTGATAAGTATGTTGCCCCCATGGTTCAATCACCTTTCAAACCCATAAGACTTCTGGGGGACATTTTAAATCTAAACTATAACCATGAGTTAAATTTTGGGAAACTGAGAGGGCTCCCGTTGGTCTTCGTAGGATCTTAGTGATTGGATGTGTCACAGTTTTAGGAGTCATTGTGTCCCATTTTCCATTCAGTGCCCAACTACTGTATTGCACCTTAGCAGGAGTACCGAAGGTGGCCAGCAGTCTTTCTGACCTGTTACTGGAAAGCCCTGCTTCTTATGAAACTTTGCTTAAAGTGAGATCCTTAAATATGAGCTCACTGATGCATGTCTTTTGGAGGGACGTAGGTCAGTTCTGCATCCATTTGCCTATCCCTTGAATACATAAAGGTTTTTTCCCTCCGCTGGTATAAATTTAACCCAGGGAGCGGTGAGCTATACTCAGACTTTTAAAACATTTATTTATTTATTTAATTTGGTTTTCTGAGAGAATAGTACATTCAGTCCAGGCTGTTCTTGAACTCATTAGGTTGCCCAGGCTGGCCTTGGAACCCTGGATTCTTCTACCTCAGTCTCTCAAGACTTGGGATTGTAGGCGTGTTCTACTATGTCTGACTTAATGAACTATTTTATAGGACACAAAATGTGGAGAAAAAGCTAGATTGGTTTAAAATTTTCAACTCATCCAGCAAAGTATCCACGGTAGAGCTCTGGAATAGGAGGAGAAGAGGGGACAGAAGAGAAAAGGTCCAAATGAATCCTTTTATCAGGTATTTCCACAATAAATGTGAAAGCAGCATCAATCCATTTTATGAGGACAGGGCCCTCGGGATCTTGTCATTTCTTACAGCTCTCATCTCTCAGTGCACCTGGATTGGGGATTAAGTTTCCTACACATGGACTCTGCAGGACACATTCAAACCATAACAGTCACTTGCCTTTACTACTGAGTACTCTTAGTTGGCTTTTAATGATCCTTTAATCTCAAGCAAGGCAACTTTTTCTCAACGAAGCTTTCCTGAGTCTCACTTTGTGATTATCTTGTTTACTGATCTTTCTTTCCGTTAGCCTGTAAACTTGAGTGCAGATCATTAATTATGTGGATGAAATGGGAACTCAATTATTTGGGTAAACAGAACTTTCTCCCTTTAGAGACTCTTACAATATGTCTATAATATGTAGGGGTGCAAGCCTACTGATGTTACAAATGGTTCTTCTGGCCCATGCTTCTCCATCTCATCTACCCATATATCAGTAATGACTTTGCTAAATTCCATTGCAAAAAGCAAAATGCCATATAAGCTAGAAGTGGGAAAGATGTCACCAAGTATGGCTCACTAGCTGGTCAAGAGCCTTGTTTGATGGTTTCAGGATGTTTACCTTCACCTAAGGCTCAAGCCTCAGCTCTGTGGGTTGGTATCTTGATTGTGGGTTAGCCTTTTAGGGATGAGTTGGCCAAGGAAAAGCAATAACAGCTTCTCTTAAGTGAAATAATGAATCAATTATCAACTGGACACTAAATCTATGGTGCTATACAAAGCTCTTTCTGTATTTTATCACTTTTAACCTCACAAAACTCTGATGTGGAGAAAGTGAAAAGCTGCTCTCATTCTTTTGTCAAGAACCTAATCCCATAATAAGCAACCCACTCTTTTGATAACAGCATTAATCCATCTATTATTAAATATAAATTTTATCATGGAAGACTTATTAATCATGTCATCAATATGATGGCTTAACAGGTTTTTTATGATAATGTAAATGTAATATGGATTTAGTAAGACCGTACTGGAATTTCAGATCCAGGCCAGGGCTGCCTAGCATCCTTTCTTTGATGCTGTAGTTCCCATCAACCAGGCAATCACCAGGGAAAACAACCAGTGCTTTACAGGGACCGTGTTGCATTTTTTTTGACTTACGGTATTTTCAATTTACAGTAGGCTTACTGGGATATAATCCATTGTAATTTGGGAGCATCAGTAGCCATCTTTTAGCTACTTTTATAGGTTAGCCCAATGTTACAAAGTAAAGAAGATTTGAATTCAGTACTGATACCACCATTTGCTTTTTTATTAAAGATCTCTATAGTATTATTATCCTATGTTTACAAGTGACTGAATTATGAGATAGAAAACCAATTTTAACTTACAACGGCAAGGATTACAGACGAGATTAGATACCTTGTACTCAGGACATTCTTTTCCCAGGGGCAAATATGCAAGAAACTAGGTTATAATGAGAAGTTCCTTCCGTGAGTTTGGATCAGAACCAGAGATATTCTGTATCTAATGTAAATGCTCCATGATGTGAACCTACAATCTGCCCACTGGCACAGCAGACATAGACTTGCTAACAGCGCTGAAGATATCCAGCCAAAATAAAGATGGTGTGACTTGTTCTGAGTGATTGTAGGCTTGTGACTGCTGTCTTACAAGACTTCTGTTGAAGACCCTTTTCTAAATTACTGCAATACATTCTCTTTTTTTTGTGGTTTTTTTCCTTTTTATCGGTATCAGGGATCCAACTCACGACTGCCTGCTTGCAAGGCAGACGCTTATGCTGCTGAGCTAAATCTCTAGCCCCTACTGCAATACATTCATGTCAAGAGTAACTGTCTACACAAATCTCTCTTTTTTTTAAAATAAAAAACATTAATAATATTTCTCTTTACACAAGGAACAAATGACTACACCGGCCATGAAGTAGTGAAAAGGAGCTATGTGGAAGAAAATCAGCTTTACTTCTTTGGAGGGCTGAGAAGTTTGTGTTGCTGTGTATATCAAGGACTCCTGTTCAGATGCTAGCAGCTAAGGTTGGTTTTTAGGGTGCTGAGAGGATAATCCAGGGGCAGTCTAGTCATGCTTCCCTTACTCCCAGATCTCTCTCATTTGGACAGAGCACTGTAGGCCTTTTGGAAGAAGAAACACCAGGGCAAATATCCACTTTCAGTTTCTGTGAAAGTATTAGTGAGTATGAGAACACCATTTC